TTACATACTGTTGCCATTTTTGATGCAGTAACAATTGGTAATACTGTTGGTAATACTGAAGCGCGCGCGCGCACACAAAAAAAAAATTACAACTTCAAAATTACATCAAAGGGAATTTTACTTCTTACCTGGGAAACAAGGCTCACTGCCAGCCCTCCTCTGCCTGCTCTTGCAGTACGCCCCACACGATGAACATAGTCCCTCGGGTATCTACAGTAATAAATACATTTTACTGAAAGAAACATTAAACAAAAATTAAAAAGAACAAAGATTGGTTACAAATTATGTTAAAATATATCATCACCTACCACCTCCACTCAACTCACCTACCACACACACTCACCTACTCCCCAATCCTCTCCTATATAATGAGTACCTCACCATCTGTAATTGACACATCAATCAGATATCAATCAATAATACATAAATTCTTACATGGTATCAGAGCAAGGTTAAGAATTTAGTATTTTTCGCTTCACCAGCGGGCGGCAACCTCGCCTTGGCCGCCCGCCGGACCTCAACCTAGTCTGCTTGCAGCAGCTCTCCAAGTATCAACCAAGCTTTTCCGGACCCATCCTCCACACAGACCACAGACCAGCTCATATACACAAGCGATGCTTGATCTCTCTCTCTCTCTGCTCTACGCAGATCATTGATTGCAGCAGCTCTCCAATGGCAGGCGGCCGCACCACCGTCCGCGTCGCCGTCGTGGGCAACCGCGGCACCGGCAAATCAAGCTTGATCGCCGCCGCCGCTTCCGAAAACTTTCCCGAAAGCGTCCCCTCCGTTTTGCCTCCTACTCGCCTCCCCTCCGACTTCTACCCCGACGGCATCCCCGTTACTATCTTCGATACTTCTTCCCGTTTGGCGAGTCGAGGGCAGCTTGCGGAGGAATTGAAGCGTGCAGATGCAGTGGTGCTAACCTATGCATGTGATCAGCCTGTGACTCTTGCTCACCTCAGTACTTTCTGGTTTCACTCTCTCCGCCGACTTCCTAACGGTTCGCCGTCGCTCTCCGGCGGCGTTGCTCCTCCGTACGCCGTCGATACTGTCAAAGCTTCTCAGGTGCCGTGTTTTTGCACTTGGAACTCTCATTTCCGGTTTATACGGTTTTGTTTACCTCTCTTCATTCGAATCGTAATAAGAATCAGACGGTACTGATCGATTTCTCACTTTATCTTCTCGATTTCTCGACTACTGTGACTCTGAATCGATTGTTACTACTGTGAAGTTCTTTCCTTGCGGCTTTTTATTTGTTAGATTTTTTATTTGCTTGATTGTAATGTTTAATTAGTCCGTGTAAATTATTCTGGGTTGTATTTGCTTGAAATTGATAGTAATTTGGGTTTTTAGGTTTTGTTCTTGTGAATATCTGATGTCTAATTGGCTTAATTTTTGTGTTCTTAAGTGTGATTTTAGTGAATTTAAGGGCATGATTTTTGCCCTAGTTTGTGGTTCGATTGCAATCTGTGAATGAAGATGGCACTCTGAACTGATTTGATTTTGTGTGTAGCTGCTGGTAATGCTTATCGTTTGGCCGATCTACCTTGAAATTTCTTCGAGTCCACCACCTTCAATGAACCCAACTGAGACTACTCTGACCTCAAGAGGATCTGTCACCAGATGCCCTCTCTCTCCTCTTCCTTCACGGCAGAGACAGGTGAAGGACCAGCCGTCCTCCACATCATCAGCGATCTCGTCTCTCTCCTCTTCTATTTGATGAGCTCAACGGCAACAATGGGGTTTAGACCCGATGTGATGAAAACTGTTGGTAAACTCTGTTGGCAGTGCCTGTGCCCCTCCCAGACACTGCCGTTACGGCAATCTTGGTCCACCTCCGCCGGTCCGTCTGCCACCGTCGTCAACCAGCACCACCATCGCCGTCCTCTATCACGGTATCCCTCACTGGTATCCCCCCTCTCTCTCTATATATACACATCACCGTCACAGCCATCATCTCCACCACGACTCTACCGCTGTTTTTCCAAGTGGAGTACGCCACGAAGGCGGTGAAACAGGGCTCGACGGCGATTGGGTTTCTCATCTCCATCTCTCTTTAACAGCTCAGCAAAGGAGATCAGTACCAACCCTGTTGTCAACACTCTACGGCTTGCCGGCTCTGATTTGGCAACTTCCATATGATCTGATCTGATCTCATTTGAGAATGAAAACTTGATCTGATAATCTGAACGAGATCAATCTGTAATTTGTGTACGAGATCAATCAGCTACGATGGCCATTTCAACCCCATTTTGGTTGTTTAGGTGCTGGAGCTCACTAACGACGTCTTCATCGGCTACTCTCGCAACCACTCCGCGAGATGATGATGAAGATATACCAGATCTCAACCTCTATTGTTGAACCCTATAACAGTGTCTTGTCCACTCACCCATGTGACCCACACTCACACACACACCCTTGCAACCCATTTTAATATATTAACATCACTATCCTAGCCCACAGGTTTCGAAAACCCCCACCGGATTTATTTTATTTTCATCATCACTTTGCTGGTGCACATTCTCATTCTCATTATTTTTATTATTATCACATGGGCGTGTTACCCCTCTTTTAAAAAAAAAAAAAAAAAAAAACCAAATAATTTACAAATTTACACAACACTCATATTTTATTCATCTCCGGGATCAACCCCGATCACAATTTTACACAAAAAAAAAAAAGCAAAACAAAACAAAAAAAAAAAAAAAAAAAAAAAAAAAAAAAAAAACAAACAAACAAACATCACCCACAAACACCCACCCACAGTGGGATTTTTCTTTTCCCTTCTCTATTCTACTGCAGGTCTCTTCTTCTTACTTTTATCTTGGGTGTCCCGTGCCAGTCCGGTCTCCGTGTTTCCTAGACTACCAAGCAAGTTGCCTCCCCCCTGCTCCTCCACTGCAGCATATGGAGGACCTCCAAATCGAAACATCACGGTGGCCTTCCGCTTCAGCTCCTTGTTTTCTGCCTTCAGCACACATATCTCTGCTCGCGCATCCTTATACATGCGCTTGAGCAGAGCCAGTTGGGCATTTAACTGCTGCACCTCATTTGTCCTACTCTGAAGCCGGTGCGACAAGTTTGTGACCGCAGTCATGGTTTCCACACATGACTTCAAAGTATACTGATTGGCCTCAATATCAGTTTGCACTGCCATTCTTTGCTCCACAGACCGCATAGGAAAGGTCAACGGAGCAAACTCAGGGGCGTTTGGTTGAGGTTCAAGGGCAACCGCACCGGTTATCTCTCTTGTGGACTCGTTGAGGTCGGGAAAGAGAGTGAGCAGACCACGGGACGAAGAGGCCATATTCTGGGTAGCTGAACGGGAAGAAGAAGCCATGTTTTTGGGTTGCTGAGTGTTTCAGAGAAGGGTTGG